AATCTCGGCTTTTCTCTAGTGACGACGCCTGCGCTTATCGGATGATTGGTTGACTGGTGCTTGGAAGCATCCAAGGTGGTGTTATTAGTGAGAATTTGGGGCCAGGAAAGTGAATCTAAAGTAGACAAGGCTATGATAAAGGGATCTTATCATATAAGGCGGAAGCGATCATTCATTTGATTTGAATATGTTCTATTTTAGAAAAACGTTAAATAGTTTTGTTATACAACAAATAATGTTATTATTATAGTCATAAAAAGATAAAGGGATTTTTCCTCATCCGTTTATTTAATTTAAAGAGGGATTAAACCTTGAAAACGTATGGGAAAACAAAATTAAAAGCAAACTTTAAATTTAACATACCAACGAGAAAACGATCCTTACTCTTACAATTTTTAACAAATCAGAATTGTAATCAGTATTTTGATTTAATAAACTAAAAATATTTGGGAATACTTTATTAATTTTAAAATATGAAATTTTGGATTGCCTTCCATTGGGTAAAGGTGGAACAAGAATTGAGGGAAGTGAAACCAAAGCGTTTGTCTTGAAGCTTGTTGATTGAAAACTTACCCACAAATTATGCACTAGCGAAAAACGTGTTTGGCTCACAGATCTGGGCATTAAGTCAACTGGACTGACTTGGGCTCGGAATCCGGGAACTGGGAACTGGGCACCGAGAACTGAGAACTGAGAACTGGGAACTGCGATTGGGAACCGCGCTCAACGTTCGTCGACCTTGCAACTCGTTCTGCACATTATGCTTATTTATTTTTGTTTTTCCAGCGATAGGTAAAGGCAAGGCCCATTAGTAAATGTGGGAAGGAGCACTCGTTGGTCGATGGCAATACACTTTGTTCAGATAGCATCGTCGCCGGTCGGCCTGATGGTCATTGAACCGCCAACCGGACAAGTACTTTTTATTTAACCCCCGAACAACCGGAGGCGGAAAACTCCAATGCCCGAAAATACATATCCTGGTGCCATAAGTCGCAGTAGATTTCCCTTTCTACTGCTGTCTGGCCTCTGTGTTCTCGACTCTTCGGTACAGTTTGCCCCGTCGTCGCATATATTTCTGCTGGCAGTCTGCCTGTAACTTCCAGCTCTATGCCCCAAACTCCTACGTTGAATATAACTCTGGTTTCTGCTGCTCCACTACCCCAAAGCTTCGAAAAGGAAATATTTTTCACAGTCGTTATGTTGGTGCTGGTCGGGAAAAGGAAGGGATCTGCCATCGAGCTGCTCTGCGCAGTTATTCTAACTGAAAATCAAATACATACTTGACTTGGCAAGCATTTTTTAGGGGTATTAAATATTTTTAAGCATTTATTATTTTTTGTATCTAAATTATTTTATAAATAGAATATAAACTTCATAAGAGATAATAAAAATAAAAATGTATTTTTAAGTTTTTTTAAATTAGCATAAGATTACCATATTATTTAAAAGTATTGCTTACCACACAAGTCAATCGTCTAGGCATATATGGAAATTAATTGGTATAACAAAAAACAGTCTTAAGATTCTAAGTCATATACAACATAATTATTATATATTCAAGAACATTAAGTATTATTTTAATTGAATTATACTTTCGGTTTAAATTGTTGAATTCATTAAATTAATACTGCCGAAATTTATGTGGTACATAATATATAAGTTCCTTAAAAATTGCTCCGAAAACTAAACAACTATTATTACGTTTTTCAAAACTTTGATATAAGTTTAGCTTAGCCTAAGATAATATCTTCTAACTTAGCCTCCTTAATAAAATCTATCAACATTAGCTGACAGAAAATTGGTTTATCAAAGCGCAATCAGATTTATGGCGCTGTTTACTGAAAACCCAGAACCCTGGTCATATGCTGACTATTCACAAAACTCGAAAAAAGGCACCAGACGATGAATTGCAGTCCACAGCTGCTGTCCTGCCCAACTCCAATTCCTTAAAAACGAGAAGGAGAGGGTTAGAGTAGGACAGAGAGAAGGAGAGAGAGCGAAAAAACCGAAAAAGCCTTTCGTCGTTTTTAGCTGGCACGAACAGATCAATGACCTGCATTTCACAGCCGGAGACACAATTCAATCGATAAAAGTGAAGAGTTGGGGCACCGGCTCACACAGACACTGCACACACACACACACACATACGCGCACACTGACACAGCGAGGAAAAAACAACATGGCGAACGTGAAATATGCAAGCTTCCTGCAGGAAAAGCCAAAATGGCAGACAGCATGCGGCGAACGTGACGCAGTGCAGAAGGGGGTCGAAAAGGGAGAAATGGGCGGCTGATGGGGTCAGAGGTGATGGTGGCGCTCCAGGGGTGGCTGCAGCCGCAACGGAACTTTCTAAAATTTCTAGAACAGCAGCCAACAGGAAGGACGCAAAAATGTGGAGCGAGAGTGAAGCTCGAATATTTTATTCCATTCAATCAAATCGAGCAAGCCAGGGGCCAAAAAGGCTGATTAAAAATTCAGCAAATGGGGGGAAAACCACTATTCTGGCCAGCACACAGCAGAGTTCCCAGACAGACACCGCCGAATGCATTGGAGCGTTAAATAAAATAGCAACAAACATATTCATATTGCGAACAACCCCACAACAAACACTCAATCCATCGACTGTTGTCTGAGCCACCGTCCTCGAACACCCCCGAAATCCCCATAGTTCCCATCAAACTGACCAAAATGTAGACAAAGGTAGTGCCCAAAAGTTGTCAACTTTTCTTGGGGGCTTATCGAGGAACTTACCGCCTGTCTGAGAGCTTTTCGGGGTTGTTGCTGGCGAAACGGGAAATTAATGATATTTTTGGACATGCACTTGACTATTTCAATCTGGAACAGCACAAAAGTCAAGGGTTAGAAGGGAAAAATTATGAAAAATTATGTTATTTAACTGTCTTAAACCACGTTTCCTTAAAAAATAATTTAACTTACACGGGTCATTCTCCTTTGCGTTTTCTTAACTGTTAATCGGATTATATCCAATGAAAATAGACAGACAAATCACAATACAAAGGCAAATTAAATACACAATTAGGAATCCAAAGGTAAGGTAAACACAGGCAACCAAAAGAATCAACATTTTCACAACTGGTATGAAATTTTCATTGAAGAGAGATCTTCACCGGATAGTTAAGCACGAAAAGAAATTCAAGAATTTTGATTTGTATATACGGACAGCATCATTTTATTTTAATTTAATATTTATTTTGACAATTGACATTTGGTCAATACTATCGATAAACATAATACAATTTTGAAAAGGTGCACATTTTGGTATGTTGTTGAAATATAAAAGAATAAAAATAACCCTTATAATCTGAGGTGATTTTAGTTAAGTTTTGCATATTTTCCGTCTCTTCGTTATTTTTTTTGGCAGTAACGATTATATACAGCAGTATATTCCAAGACATTTTGTTGTATTTAAAGCCGAAAAAAATTCTTTAAACCTTAAAATCTGATTTTAGCTTGGATGGTGACTTTTAACTAGCCAAACACATGGCTTGAAATTTTTTTGGCGAGTCATATTAGCCCAGACTTATCTTAAAGTAAGCCTAATCTTTTATTTTCTTCAGTACCATAAAAAAAATGATGATATGTTATTTTTATTAAAATCAAATGTTAACGAAACACAATGGGAAACAAACTTGTTCATTTAATAATATTTGGCTTACGAATAGAGAAAGTGTATTTTTAATGCTATTTATATGATCATGGCTGTATAACCATACTGTAAAAATGTAATTGTTGATCAGATATCAGAGGAAAATACAAAGTACACATTTGACTTATTGATAAAATAACTTTTCAGGAGTCACTATCTAAATTCAAAGTTGCAAATATAATTACATGAAGTTAGGTTATCGAAATTGCTTGCGCACAATACTATTAATTGTAATTCCCGAATATTCATCATACCACCCGTGGACCCAGGAGGTATGGCAAGTCAATTAGCCTTACTAACACACTCCCACGCCACATTTTTTTCGGCTTCTGCCCGTTGTTGTTGTTGTTGATTTTGATGTTGCTTCTCGAGTTGCGCTCTGAAATGAAAACTGCAGCGAAAGTCAGGGCATGGAAAAAAGCGAAATTTTTTGCAGTCATCCCGAAAAGTGCAGCCCTGCAAAATTGTAGTCATCCTGGCTCTCTCCGAGGGACTCTCCACAGGAGTGTCGCTCCCTGTCCCTCTCACTCCCACTGTGCATCGCTCCATCTCTGTCACTTGCAGACACAGACAGTGGGAGTGTGGGATTTTCAGGGGGAGTTCAGTTCAGTTTTGGGGAGTTGCCCCGGAGTTTGGGATTCTACTGTCTGGGCAACACCTCCCTCCTACTCCCAGGCCCAAAAACTCAGTTTTGAACTCCACCCGCAGAGTTGCCATGACAACCAACCGATATTCCAGAGTCCAGACTGGGTGTTGCCAAATCCCGGCACTGAAAACACGAGCAAAATATCCAACTTCTCCCCCGATGCGCAATGGGTCAGTGTACAATTATTTTGTCAAATAAAAAAATCGGTGAAGAGTAGGTTATGATGGGGGTTATTGGTGATTATTCAATATTGGAGTGGTTAAATGGAATTTAATTTATTACTAAACATATGATATGATTAGCAATTTAAATTTGTGAAATAGTTTTACAGCGCAAGTATTATCTTTGTAAGTTGTCCCAAAACATTTGCTATCACAGTGGTAAGGTGTAACAAATATAACAGAAACTTTGGAACGAAATTAAAGCCGTACCATTTTACAAAAAATAAATAGCCCTAATTTATTAGATAAGTTTAAGTCAAAAGTTTTTAAGGAATTTTATTCATTTCTAACGTAAGTTCATGCTTTTTTCACATATGAATTTTTTTCGTAAAATATTTAATAGATTGGAACTTGGTTATTTTGTATTTTAAAACTTACTTTATTAATCGTTTTGGGTTTCATTCTTTAAATTTGCCTCTTCAATTCAACAAAAGACAACAACATCATAGAAACACTCGCAAAATATCGAAAAATAAATACCATTTTCGGTTTGGATTATGGCTTTTGCAGCCCTGGTGCTACTGGTGGTATTATTCCGAAGTAGCCATTACCCATATAGATCTGAGGTTCATCGGGTCCACTGCCGTCCGGATTGGTCTGCCAAGTGATCGTGAGACACGGCTCCGCAGCACTGGGAGCCTTGGGTATTGTGATGTGGTAGTTCTTGGCGTCTTCTGCTCTTATATTATGTTTAATTAAGATAACGGGGTGAACTGGAGACGTTTGTTGAAAAGCCACTTGTTGTTGATTTGGATTCACTAAAAATTTGACACAATTATAATATTAATTGGCTCGTGAAAATATATCCAATTCTTAAATAGGCTTTAGTTTCCGCATTTAATTTCGACTTACATGGCTGGCTCCACGCGCAGGCAATCAGCAGCGGATAGAAAGCCAGAAACTTGTGCAACGCCTCTGATTTCATAATTTATTTATATGCGGTCTTTGTGGAAATATAAACAAATACTGTTGTTGTCTGGCTTCCTATACTAGATGCAGCAGTTCTGAATTATCTTTCGATGACGACGACCCGTCCTCACTCCAAGCAGACTCAGCTCAAACTGTTCGAAATGTCAGAGAAGCTCGGTATTTTGAGCTCTCCCGCCCCTCCCTACTCGCGATCTCAACCTGGTATTCACTGGGTTTACTTATCAAAATTTTCCTGAATGAACCAAATCTATTTGTAAACAAAGCTGAGCGCAGTAGCATCGATCCCAGATTGTGAATCGGGAGATAATGAATTTCATACGCCTCTGAGAACAAAAGAAAAGTCTCTGCAGCCGCTTTTAAAAGTTCATATACTGAACAATTTTTTTTTTACTAATTTATAATGCCACTTGCATTTTTTTTGTAACTTAAGCTCAGTATATATAACTATCCAATTGTTTTTAGGACAGTAATACTGAGCCATACTAAAAGATAGGTAATAATTGGGATAAATCTGCAATTTTCAGGAGTGTTACAAGAATCTAAAACCAGCATACATATATGTAAATATTAAGAACAAGAGAGAACGCTATAGTTGGGTTAGTGTCCCGACTATCTAATACCCGTCACTCGGCTAAAGGGAGTGCGAGGGAGACAGATATATAAACAATTTTGATTGCGTATAACTTTTTAATGAATGGTCCGATTTAAAAAATGTCTTCTACATTTCGATAGGTATAAATATACAAAAAAAAAATTGCATTTATACTTCTCGGAAATCTTCAAAGATGTGGGCGCAGGACCCATTTTAAAATCGTTAGTGGGCGATTGTGGGCGTAACGCGTAACGGGTATATAAAATTTAAAATATAACCAAAAATGCAAGAATTTTTTCGAACTCAAGGACATAGATGGTTATAAATAACTCAACAATATTTAGCAAAAACTCGCAAATAACTGTTGACCGATTCGTGCGGTCTTCAAATAAATGTTTTTCTCTGAGACTTTGGACTGCCTTTTTATACCCTTGCAGAGGGTATTATGATTTCAGTCAGAAGTTTGCAACGCAGTGAAGGAGACGTTTCCGACCCCATAAAGTATATATATTCTTGATCAGCATCACTAGACGAGTCGATCTAGCCATGTCCGTCTGTCCGTCTGTCCGTCTGTCCGTCCGTTTCTACGCAAACTAGTCTCTCAGTTTTAAAGCTATCGGGATGAAACTTTCGTAAAAGTCGTATTTCTATTGCAGGTAGTATATATGTCGGAACCAAACGGATCGGACAACTATATCTTATAGCTCCCATAGGAAGGATCAAAAAAAAAAACGTAAAAAAATTCTAGGTCCGGTGTTTTTTGAAATTTTACCTTCTACTCTTGGGAACATTTTTTTTTATATATTTCTGAATTTCGGTTTTTTTGTCTTTTAAATCGGATCACTATATCATATAGCTGCCATAGGAACGGTCGAAAAATTAAATGGAAATTAATGGGAAAACAATTATATCTTTGTTGGTTTTTATTACAGTTCCTTCTACTCTGGGATATGACTATTTTGAAATATTTCCGAATTTTGATTTTAATTTTTAAAAGATCGAACTACTATATCATATAGCTGTGATAGAAACGATCGAAAAATTAATGTGAAATAATAAGAAATTTAACATTTTTGCGATTTGTAAATTAATAGAATGATCTGCAAGGGTATATAAGCTTCGGCTTGCCGAAGCTAGCTTCCTTTCTTGTTATATCTACTGTCTTAGCACCAACTGTAAGAAGCCAGATTAGGTTTATTAACCAAGATTTCTTTGAACTTTTGATTGGTGCGTCCTTACGCGTTTAATGTCTCAAGCGGAGTTTAGATAAGTATTATGCAGCACTCGTACTTAAACATAATTAAGTGTTCTTATTTTCGTTCTCCGCCTGGTAGCGATCCATGTGGGGATCAAGCAGGCAGGTACGTATTTTCACTAAATTTAAAAATGTATACTAATTTATATTTTGTTACAGAGGACAAGAGACTGGGCCGCTGATGCCAATTGGAACTTTAATTTGTCATTTTTAATTATTAATTTGTAATTTTAAATTGTAATTTTTAATTTCAATTCAAATCGGCTGTGAATATTCAAAAATAACTGCTTGGAATTCAAAAATAACGGCCGCTTTAGACAAAAAAGAACAACTTGCGGTCGAAAGCAGTGCTCTTTTCGGCGCTCCCAATAAGCAGCGATGTAGAATGTAGAAACAATGTAAACTTTGAGTAAAATGTAGAGCGTGTAGAAAGGGTGTAGTCACTGCTGAGGAGCATTCTCTGGATTGGGATGTTGTCTTCACTAACTGCACAATGGGCCAAGTCGAATTTTTATACCCCTGCAGAGGGCACTATAATTTTGGTCAGAAGTTTGCAGCGCAGTGAAAGAGACGTTTCCGACCCCATAAAGGATATATATTCTTGATCAGGGTCACTAGCCGAGTCGATCTAGCCATGTCCGTCTGTCCGTATGAACGCTGAGATCTCGGAAACTACAAAAGCTAGAAGGTTGAGATTTCCCACATATATTCTTGGGCTTCCTACGCAGCGCAAGTTTATTTCAGCCGAGCGCTACGCCCCCTCTAACGCCCACAATCGCGCACTAATGAGTTTAAAATGTGTCTGGCGCCCACACCTTTAAAGATTTCCGAGAAGTATAAATGCAATTTTGTTGTTTATATTTATATCTATCGAAATGTAGAAGACATTTTTCAAATTGGACCATTCAATCAAAAGTTATACGTAATCAAAAAAATTTTATATATCCATCTCCCTTGCACTCCCTTTAGCCGAGTGACGGTTATTATATAGCCGGGACACAAACCCGACTATAGCGTTCTCTCTTGTTTCAAATATTACCTTCTACTCTGGGGGATATTATTTATTTTATATTTCTGAATTTCCAATTAAATATTTAAAAAATCGAAAAAAAAAATATGAAACGATCGAAAAATCAATGTGAAATAAAAGGAAATTTAAAATTTTTGCGATTTGTAAATTAATTGAAATGACCTGCAAGGGTATATAAGCCGGCAAGCCGAAGCTAGCTTTTTTCTTGTTTGCATTAAATATTGTAATTTTACAAACAAAAATTATATCGGTTTAAAAAAAAAAAAATTTAATTTCTTTTTTCTATTAATAGATAATTAAATAGGGCGAATACATTAAAAGTTTTAGTTTCTCGAAGTTGAATATTTTTAATATTTTCCGCAGAGAAAATACATTTATAACAATAATTCCATTTTTCCAAGAAGCAAACTACCAACTAATATTTATTTTTTGCTTTTATTTAGTATTTCTTACTTAACAGCGAAAAACATGAAACACATTTTTCAATTAAATTACAAAAACTAAACAAACAAGCTTAGCAATTAATCTAAGTGTCTTTAATAGTGAAATCTTAGCGCAACAATTATTATAATCCGTTAGGTTGATTAACGCGTTTAATATAAAGTACGGCTAACAATAACATACAATTATCGAATCTATTTGAAACTCGCTCATTTCGCCTTGACTTAAACTTAATTATAAATAACAATTTGTGTCGTTTTGATTTTTATGTATTTTACAAATGTCGCTTTATAATGCTTAAGTTTATTTTGTCTCTGTTAAATAAGAATATTGCAAATTAATTATAGGTATATTGGTTGGTACTCCAGTGTCTTCGTGGATAATTCTTTCCAAAGTGCGGGGACTGGGGCGTGGTCTGAAGGGCACTTGGGGAGGTATATAGAAAATCAAATACTTCTGGGAAATTCAACTCGAATTAAATACTCTTGCCTTGCCCGTGGACGGAAACCGTTGCTCATAGAAATTTTGGTCTAGGCCAAATGATAATATGCATCCTTCTTGGAAGACAAATGAAAATGAATTTTCAATTTGCAGTTGGGAATTACTAATTAATTAATGAGAGACACCTACAAACGTATCTCATCCTAACATTCCTTTGTGTCTTTTTTGCTACTGTACACAGTCTTTGTATAATTTTTTGTTTTCTTTTTTCGTTTGCTTGTTTGTTGAAGAACCTAATCCTAAAAGGTTGAAACCATATTACACCTCGGTGCTGTGCGTCTGAATTCGGACCTTCTTAACGCTTCCATTGCGCCGCATCGGAGGCGAGCTGCCGGATCCGGAATAGCCGGGATTTTGAATGCCCAACGTTGGATCCGGCCGAGGTCTCGGCTTTTTCAGGCTCGATCGCAGGGGCGATCGCGTTACCGAGTCGAGGGTGGAACCATTGGAGACGCTGGTCACCGTGGTGCTCATGGAGGCAACACTGCCCGCCGTGCCTGCTCCATTCCGGATTCCACTGTACGGCTTCCCGGAGGCGTCCGTCACCGAGACGCCGTTGCGACTGCGCGGCTCCTTGAAGCCCGGATTGTTGAACGTGGTGGCACTGCCAGGAGATGAGGCATCCAGCGCCATCGTGGGATCTCCGCCGGGACTGCGCGAGTAGATCACATCGTACAGGGCGGCCACAAACAGAGCGATGGTTAAAACAATAGCCACAATCTGTAAAATTAAGAGAACAACATTAATATTTATATTTAATATTTAATATTTATATTATTTGGCAGTTGAATTCCTACATTAATATCTTTGGATAAATCTTAAAAATCTTATTTTCTTTTAAACATTCACGACTTTTCCAAAAAAAAGTACAACAACCTTTAATACTTTTTTTTCTAGACTCAACGAGAGTGGTACGAGTAGATTACATTAGCAATCGGAGATTAACACATTTTATTTTTAAGATTTGACCATAGAAAATTACATATTTAGCTTTGCCTGATTACTGCCCTCTCAACTACATGAGTATTTAACCATTAATCACCTGTATATAGAAGGAAATGCCCCGCGATATCTTGAAGCCAAAGCGTTCCTGCTCATCAATTTGCAGGGCAAACAAAACCGTTGCTATGATGGCCAGTACACCTGGAAATATTGGAAATAAATTACGTTTATTTGCCGTTCCCAGCAAATACCATCTGAACTCACCTCCGAGCAACGCCAGCATTAACTTCACTATCACTAAAGTTGTGTAGGGCATTACCACCTTCTCCCTGGATGAGATCATCGCGTGTTGAATGACCGACAAAATGCAGAAAATGCCCAGCA